ACAATTGACAGTGATGCAACAACCAACAGTCTTGAGAGAAATAAGTGAAAAAAGGATGCATGCTTTCAAAAATTAAAGTATTTAAAATTTCTAACAAATTTCATAAGACAAAATATGAGTAATAAATAAATGACCATTGATCACCCAGCAAGTAGAAATCTGACCCTATGACCCAAAGATGTCATTTTGCCAATTATCAGTGTTGCAGTCAATCATTCCCTTTTAAGATAATATTTGTGAGTCTTTTACCAGCATATCTAAAGAAGGGGGTCCAAGTCTTAAAGAAAACTGCTGTTTTACATTTGAATCTGTATGTTAAATATTCCATTGGTATTAACTCAAATATCAGTTTATGCCATCCTATAATTGTAGGAGGTGTATTATCAATCCATTTAAGCAGTATATTTTTCCGGGCAGCAAATGTAAGAATATTGAACAGCCTTCTTTGATAGGAGCCTTTAATCTGGAGGCTAGGTAAGCCAAGGAGCAGAACCTCAGTTCCAGGTTTAAGGTGGACATCAAAAATCAAATTGAGTTTATCAATAATTTCACCCCAGTATCCTTCAATATGCACGCATGACCAAACACAGTGCATATAACTCCCCACCTCCACATGACACTTCGAGCACATTTCTGTCAATCTTGGGTTCATTTTATGTCTCAGCTGAGGGGTAATCGGTAAGCGATGCAATATCCTAAACTGGCTCTCTCTGGTTCTGTTACATATAGAGATCTCCTTTGCTAATTGCCAAATTTCTGCCCATGTTGTTTCATCCATTGTGAGATCAAGATCATTATTCCACACACTCATCACTCCTTTATGAAATAAATGCCCCAGTGTTAATATCCCTCTGTCTCTCCAGATGTTAAACCCACCATCTGGGCAAGCTGGGGCAAAATCAATGTTACAGTATACAGGAGCTAGAAGAGACAGTGTATTTGTATGACCTTCCAGCTTTCTTATTGCTTGCCAGGCTTGCAGACTTGTTTTAATTATGACATTATTAACCGTAACCCTCTTAATTTTCTTTAAGTCTAGGGCAAATAACAGACTTGGTAAGGGGCGACCTGCGTTTAGCGTTTCTAGATCTAGCCACACCGATTCCGGGTCATCATTAATCCAATCGGCTATGTAATGAAGCTGTGCAGCCAGCTGATAAAGTCTAACATTAGGGACAGCTAAGCCGCCCTTCTCCACAGACATCTATAGCTATGGTTTCTTTTTGTTCCAAATGAATGTGCTGAAACAGCTGTTAACCCTCCTAATAGTTTTATTATTAAGTAAGATAGGGACCATCTGAAAATGATAAAGGAGTCTCGGCAAAATGTTCATTTTGAGCAAGGCGACCCTCCCCAGCATAGACAATGGTAGAGATACCCACCTATCTCAGTCGTCTTTAATGCGTTTTAGGAGAGGTTCAAAATTAGCCTTGTACAGTGTGTCTAGCGACGGGGTAATTAAAACCTTGAGGTGACCATTTAAATGGAGATGAAGTAGGGCGACACTGGTTGCCCAGAGGCATAACCTCAGATTTTGAAAAATTAATTTTGTACCCTGAGAATTCACTAAATTGGCGTATTACTTCCAAAACAGCTGGTACAGATGTCTGTGGATTAGTTATAAAAAGCAAGATATCGTCAGCGTATAAGGCTATTTTGTGATCTTTTCCACCAGCAGAAACTCCAGTAATATCCGGGCTGTTCCTTATAGCCTCTGCGAGGGGCTCTATAACCATCGCGAACAGCAGTGGGGACAACGGGCACCCCTGCCTGGTCCCCCTGCCCAGGGAGAAATAAGAAGAGCTCTGCCCATTAATCCGAACAGCTGCTAGTGGTCTGTTATATAATAGTTTAACCCAACTGCAGAACGTGCCTCCTAGCCCGAAAGTGTCAAGAACAGAAAAAAGAAAAGGCCATTCGACTCTGTCAAAGGCCTTTTCAGCATCTAGACCTATCACCATGCTGGCCAGTTTCTGCTGATGTGATAGTTGGATTACATTTAACAGCCTTCTCATGTTATTACGAGAGTTCCTACCAGCAACAAATCCTGTCTGATCAACATTAATAATGGAGGGAAGAACTTTCTCAAGGCGTCGTGCTAGTATTTTAGAAAGTATTTTAAAATCAACATTTAGGAGGCTAATAGGACGATACAATGGACATTCATCAGCTGACTTCCCCTTTTTAAGTATGAGACTGATATTAGCTTCAGTGAGGGACCTAGGTAAGGATCCTTTAACAAAGGCATCATTTAGCATCTCGAGAAATGGGTCCATAAGTTCTGACTTAAATTCTTTATAAAATTCACAGCTAAGGCCGTCAGGGCCCGGGGCCTTCCCTGACTGTAGGGTCTGCAGTGCCTCCAGAGCCTCCTGTTTCATGATTGGTTTATTCAGTTCTTGTCTTTGTTCATCTGTTAATTTAGGTAGAGTGAATTTCGACATGAATTTATCAATCAGATCTTGTACTCCTGGGGGCTCCTCACTAGTATAGAGCTTACTATAA